GTGTGTGTGTGTGTGTGTGTGTGTGTGTGTGTGTGTGTGTGTGTGTGCGCGCGCGCGTGCTAAAGCTGAGACTGTCCCTTCCACCTCCCCAGGTGACCTTAGTCAAATCACTTCACAGGTCTCTGGGATTTCGCTTCCTTAACTGTAAAAGAAGGGGGTTGGATTAAATGGCCTTTGAGATCTCTTCCGGTGCCAGAGAAACGCTGGTTTCCATGGGGTGATCTGGGAGAAGGGTAGATCATTCCAGGAGCCCAGACATCCGCTCTAGGTCACCTGCCCACTCTTCTGGGACACCCCATTCTCTACAGGTCCATTCTTCTTTTTAGGCACTTTAAGCCAGGGGGGAAAACTGTAAGTGGAGAAAATCCTTCCAAGGAGGATTAACTGCACACTGAACCTCTCCTTCTCCTAATCTGTAAAATGAGGAAACTGAACTCTTGAATCACAGGGTTGTGGGAAGAAAGCACTCCAGAAAGCTTAAAATGCTACAGAAAAGTGAGTCTTTTAGAGTCTGAAACAGAAAATTCTCCTGTTCAATTCTTGGCTTAAAAAAAAACCAAAAACCAAAAACCAAAAATCTACTCTGAAGACACAGTCTTTCTTAAGCTACTGATTAAAAAAAAAAATATAGGATTGAGACATAAGGGAATATCCCAATCTCCCTCAGGGGAAAAAACTAGAAGCTGCCCACGTACACTACTCTTGGGGAGAAGGCTGGTGAGACCAAGGAAGGAGCTGGGCCCTCCAACACCTTGAAAACAAAGTCAACGGCTACTTCTCTCTCCAGGGGTGGCTGGGCCCTGCTGCCCCTCACTTGAGAAAATTTAAACTTACTAAAGCAGTCAACCTGTAGAACACTGTGGTAGGCAGGCACCAGGGAGCGGGACACTGGTATTAGCTAAGACCCATATAATTCCTCCCGTGATGGGGGGTTTATCCTCTCCTCTTATGTGAAGGAAGCTTATACTTCAGAAGACACGGACCTCGCAGGCCATGGCCAGGGTCACACATGTAGCAAGCATCAGGGCCAGGATTGGAACCTAGGTCCAAGATCCGGCACTTTCCATCCACCACAGTGTGCATGCTGCCTCCTAGACTCTGGGCCCAGACTCCCATTGTAAATGACCGTGTGATTTCAGGAAAGTAGCTGTCTTTCCTTCTCTATAAAAGGGTGGCCAGGAAATCCAGTGACCCACCTGGGGCCCCCAGTCTTAGCCAAGGTTTCTCCTTCCTTCCAGGGTCAGCACACTCACCGGCATCTGAAAATTCTGATGAATCTGAGGCCTCGGAAGACAAGGATTCCTGGGATAGCGAGACTACTCTGCTCCGGAAGGCCAGGCTTTGCTTTTTTCTCTTGGGGGTCTCACTGTCAAACAACAGGGGCACATGGTCAGAGGAGGAAGCCTCCCTTTCCCTCAATCTCAGGAGCTGTTACCCGGGTCCTATAAAGCATGGGTTGCCTGCCTCCAATTTGGAGCCCTTGGTCTTTATACCAGTGAAAGGGCCTTGAGTTCAAATCTTATCTCCACTTTTGTGACCTTAAGCAAGTCATTTCTGTTCCCTCATCTAGGAAACAAGAAAATTAGACTAGACTAGACTGGGAGGTTTTTAACCCTGGAGCCCTCTGGCAGTCTGCTGAAGCTTAGGATACCCCTTCTCAGAACGTTTTTGGAATGAATAAAACACAAAGAAATGGGATGATCCCGAAGTGCTCAGAGGGCCCCTGATTTTAGAGCTGAGGTCCTCTCACTACTTCCACTGGGCCAAGATTACTGTGGGTGCTTCCCCTTATCTCCAAGACTCCTTCTCTCACATGGTCAAGGCAATTCTAGGTCCTTTTCAGTCGGAGGAGGCTGGAGCAGTCACCTTAAAATGACTTCTGGCAGAGCGAGCTTAAAATCTAGAGCCAAGTTTAAAAGCCAGAGTTATAGCCTAGTCTAGTGATATAAGATGAAATACGCGCCCCCCCCCCCCCCAGAGGCAGGAGGTCTGGGTTCCAGTTCTAGCTCAATCAGTAACTCATTGGGCTACCTTGGGAAGGCCCATCAGGTTTCCACATGTGTACAATGGAGGATGTGGAGTAGATGACCCCTAAAGTGCCTTCCAGCCGCAACCTGACCCTGGGTGGATTAAAAATGAACCTTATCCAAATTGGAATGTAACTGTGCAGTCAACAAGCATTCAATTGTTCATTCATTCACGCTAGGTACTATATTCATCATTCTATTAGGGAGTTCAGAAAGTCAGTGGTGAAGCCATTTTAAACCCCAACACCCTCTCCCGCCTCTCCCACCCACCCTGGACCAGGCCAAATCCAGGAATGGAGATGAGGGATGAGGGGCTTAGGGAGAGGGGGAAAAGAGAAGGTAGTCTCTACCTCAGAGCTGCTCCCATGTCTCTACACTAGTATGGGGGTAGGGTAAGGATGCTTAATTTAAGGCCAAAGATTCAAACTTCCAAGGTCAGCGCATCCATTTCAGGCAATGCTACTTATTCCTTACCTTTAATCAAGCCTCTTAGAACAAGAATTTAATTCAGTTTTTAAAGTATTTACCAGTTATTTTACATCACCCTCCCCCCAAAAAAGCAAAAAAACCAAAAAACTACACAAAAAAACAAAACCCAGTTCCTTCCCTCTCCTGGAACTTCCATTCTAGAAAAGCTATGGCACTATAGATTTTTATGCCTAGTATGGAATTATTAGAAAAATTATTAGAAAAATACAAGCAAGTCTAGCAACATGCATACTGACTGAGAGTCCTAAGTCCTGGGTTCTAGTTCTGACTGCCACTAATAAAGTGACTTGGGCAAAGTCAGCTCTCTCCTTTATAAACTAGGCATTTCATAAAGGTTTAGACTGACTAGAAGGTCAAGGTTTCTTTCAGTTTTAGGGCTGGGGAGAGGTAGTGTGGTTAAATAAAAAAGAAATTGGAGTCTCAAGTGCAAATGCTATCTTTGCCACTCATTACCTGTGAGACCTGGGGCAAAGTGCTTAACCTCTCTGGGCCCCAGTCTCCTCATCTGTAACAGGAGGAGAGGGTCTCTCCCAGCTCTAACTCTGGTCTGAGACCCTAAGTCCCAAGCATGGGATTGCTACTCGATCCCACAGTCCTCCTCCCAAAACCTCACCCCAGGTTCTCCAGCCAAAATGGCTGCATTCTGGTAGGCTCACAGCTGAAACTAAGACGCAGCTCCGGATTATTGCAGATAACTCCCCTCCCAGGTCTTCAAACGCTAGTCTGAAGTCAAGAAGATAATTGCTGGCTTCCATTAGCAAGGTGATTACATCTAAGAGATAGGGAGAGGAAGAAGCCCAGGAAAGTCGGCTCGAATTCCAAAGGGGGCAGCATGGTCTCCAGACGCATGGTGCCTTGGTGATCCTTCAGCCCAACCTCGTGCCTTAATTTACAGATGAGGAAAAATGAGGCTCAGAGGTGTCTTGCCCAAGTCCGATGGGAATTGCCCTACGAAGCTGGATGGAGATGGGTCATACGCCGGGGAGCAAGGTTCTCAACCTTTGCGGATGCCCATTGAGTCTTGGGTGGCCTCTGCTCTAATCTCCTTTCCTTCCCTAAAGCAGCAGGCCTGGGCCCCAAAGTCCAATGGAACGGCGGAACCAAGCCCCACACCTGTACAAAATGCCTCCAGCTTTACAGGTCTCCCCAAAGGGGTGCTTACACATGCAGTTTTAGGAAGACTATATTGAGCCTACTCTAAGCCACTCTTCCTCTTCAAACCCAGGCGGGGGTCCAGGGGTCCCCCTACCCCTACCCCGGCAACTTCTATTGGAGACACCATCCTCTCCACCTCCCACTCATCTCCAGCGCGCCAAAGTGTCCTTACCTCCCCAGGCCGGTGAGGTCGTTCATCGTTCGCGTGAGTGTGGTGACCGGGGAGGAGGAGGCCACGGGGTCCGGGGAGGCGAATAGCCCCCGTACCGTGGGCTGCAGCAGTCCGGGGACTAGCCGAGTTGGCCGCGGGGCCCCAAGCCGTTCCCGGCGTTCCGGGCTGCGGTCTGCCTCTGCGGGAGCATCCCAGAGAGGCGGCTGCTGCTCCATCATCGTGGCTGGGGGTGGGGTGAGGAACAAGGGGCAGAAGGAAGAAGAAAAAAGGGAAAGGCAAGAGGCCGGGCCCAGGCAGGCTCAGCGTAGCTCAAGGCGGCACAGAAGGCGAGCCCAGATGCGCCAGAGGTTGGAACCGGCGAGGCGCCTCTTCCCCTCCGGAGAAAGGAGGCTGAAACTGCAACAGCGTAAAAGACAAGACAATGCGCCCGGGAGAGGAGGGAGGGAGGCTGGCGCGGCTCGAGGGCGCACGGGCACTGGGGCGCAAGGGTGCACAGATGCCCGAGCCCCCGCAGGGCACTGGGAGACAACGGGGACTGGAGGGAAGGGGAAGAGGGACAGGAGGAGGAGAAGAAGAGGGAGGAAAAGGAGGAAGAGGAGGAGGAGAAAAAGAAGGAAAAAGAGGAAGAGAAGGAGGAAAAAGAGGAGGAAAAGGAGGAGGAGGGACAGAGGGACAGAGGGGCAGAGGGAGCAGAAGACGTCAGAACGCCGGCTCCGACGAGCTGCGCAGCGCAGTGCTCGCCCCCAACCCGGCCTCCTACTATTTATATTCGAAAAATAACAGCGGCCCCGCTGCGAGCCGGCAGCCAATGGGCGCCTGGGGCGGGGGTTGGCCTTCCCTGGAAGGCGGGGGTGTGAGAGGGGGTCACCCACAGGGGGAGGGCTGTCCCTGAGTGCAAACCCTGACTGTGCATCCCGGGAGGTGTGAGATGGAAGAGTTCACGCACGGGGGGTGGGGCCCAGACTCTGATTCCCGGGATTTTGTGGCTGGAGGTGGGGTGCGATGCTGCGCTCTGGCTGCGCTCTTGCCCCCGCCACGTGTGCCGGTCCCTGCGGCTGCCACCCGAAACTGCCAGTATTCTCGGGGGACCTTGGCTGGCCTCCGCGTTTGCAAGGATCAGCTGGCCTCTACTGGGTGTGGGGTTCCCAAGAGAAAGGATGGTTTTTAAAACTCAAACCCCTCCTCTTCTTCTTCCTCTTTCTCCTTCTCCTCCTCTTCCTCCTCCAGTCATGCCCTTCTCAAAAGTGGAAAGGAGGTGGGGCGGAGCATAGAGGTGCAGGGGAGAGGGGCACCCAGAGCATGGAACCCTGGGGTCCAGACCACCCCGGGCCAGCCTTCACTTGCTTTCGTGACATCATCCGTTCGAGAAGCCCCTATCTCGGTGCCCGCAGCTGTTGGATGGAACCCAAAATGGAAGTCACTAGGAGTCGCCTTCTTTCCCTCCTTCCCCCTCCCCCCAACCACTTGGCAGCCCTTTCTATGGACTTAATAATAACAATATTAACACTAACAATACAACAGTACTCCACCTCCAGTGTGTGAGCCTGACTTTCTCCTTTATTAAATGTTTAAAAAAGGAAAGAAAACAGAATCTGATAGCTTGAAACTATCCTGTCGTGTCCCTAAAACGATCTGGATGTGAGCTGAGGGAAGATGAAATGCGTGGGGGAATCTCTCTTGTTTGGATTTAAAATGATCCTGCCTAAATCGTCTGGGCTTTGGGCTAGACAGCAAATCAAGGGCAAATTCTTATAACTAGCACCCGACTTCTGCTTTGAGTCTTTGATTATTTCGAAGTAAAGTGGGTTTTTTTGGGGGGGCGAGGATTGCTATGATTTTTGCATAAAGTATTCAGTTAACAGAGCTCCCTAGGACAAGTGGCTCTTCCGGAGGAGAAATGACTACTTGGGAATCACAGGGAGGAAGATTTGGGGCTTAGAGAGCTTGCAATCCAACTCCCTCATTTTACTGATGGGTAAACACAGGTCCAGAGGGATTATTATTATTATTGTTGTTAATAATAATAATGACATTTATAAAGCACGCCGAGCAAAGTGCATTACAAATGTGATCTCATTTGATTCTCGAAACAACCCCGCAAGGGACAGAAGAGAAAACTTGCTCAAGGTCACACAGCTAATAAATAACAGACAGGATCAATCAATAAACATTTATTAAGCACCTACTCTGTGTTGAGCCTGGGTTCTCTATACTCTAAATCCAGCTTACCTTCTTCAAGAGGCGAGCTGCCATGTCTCCAGTAAAAGAGGCACAGACATGGCAGACGGATTTTCACTTCCCAGTCTTGCCCTTGAATTCCTGCTCTCTGGTGGCAGGGCAGATGAGGCCTTTGGGCAGGGGCCCTGCTTCAGACTTAACCTGGCCGTGGAAGAGCGAAACTGGAGGCCTCCCACCCAAAGCTGCTCAAACCTGCTCAGCGTTCCGTTGTCCCAGCTCTGGGCATTAGCTTCTCCATGGCTGGCCAGGCTGAGCAGGCACTGAAAAGTCGCAAGTCAAGGGTGATCGTATTGATAAGATCTCTCAGTTACTAGTACTTGGAAGTTTACTACCCATGGTGAGGAAAGCGTTAATTAAAATCACCAAACTGGTCTTTCTGCTGTACTTCGCTGTCCACTACATCTTCTAAATATGTGTCTTCCCACATTTTGTACGCTGTACCTGGAATGCACTGCCTCCTCACCTCCTACTTTCAGAGTCTCTTGTTTTGGCCAAGTGGATAGAGCCTTGGGCCCTGGAGTCAGGACCTGAGTTCAAATTTTGCATCAGATATTCAGTAGCTTTTTGGCCTTGAACAAGTCGCTTAACTTCTTTTTTGTCTCAGTTTCCTCATCGGTAAAATGGGGATAATAATAGCACCTACCTCCTAGGGTGGTTGTGAGGATCAAATGAGAACATAGTTATAAAGCTCTTGGCATAGTGCCTGGAACACAGTAAATACCATGTTAGCTAATATCATTATTCTTATTTTTGTTGTTTTCCTTTAAAATTCTACTCAAAGTGCCTTTCTTGATCTCCCCTAGCTGTTATTGCCTCCCCTGCCCCTGCAAAAAAAAAAAATTCACTTTGTATTTACTTTGTCTATACTTATGTGTATAGACATATGTTGTTTCCCCCTTAAAAATGGAAGTTCCTTGAAGGCAGCTGGATAGTATAGTTTGATAGAGCTCAGGCTGGACCTGGAGTAAGAAAGACCTCCAATCCAACCTCAGAAACTTACTAGCTCTGTGATTCTGGCCAAATCACTTAACTTCTCCCTGCCTCACTTTCCACATCTGTAAACTGGGGATACTAACAGCACCTCCCTCCCAGAGCTGTTGTGAGGCTCAAATGAGATAATCTCTGGGAATCGCTTTAGGGCTATAGAAATGCTAGCTGTTATTATTAATTGACTTTTTGTCTTTGCATCCCTATCATCTAGGATAAGACCTGGCTTGTTTATTGACTGATCATACTAATTGATCACACTGGGGACTGATCATCCCCAGTTTACCAACCATAAATTTAGTCTCTCCCCCTCCATTCCATCCTCAACCCAGATGCCAAAGGGATTCTCCTGAACACCAGCGGTGACTGTGATGCCCCTCTACTTCTCTTGGCATTTAAAGCTCTTCCCAGCCTGGGTCCTTTCTATCTTTTCCATCTCTGTATTCCTTTCTCCCCCTCCGCGAGCTCTATAATTCAGCCCCGTTGGGCTACTTGCTCTGGCCTCCCTGCCTCTGCACTGGCTGACCCCTCCCCCATGCCTCTTCACTTCCATTTCCTGATTTGCTCCAGACTCAACTTAAATCCCACCTTCTTCAGGAGGCTTTTTCCTGTTGTCCCCCACATCCTCCAGTATGTTCCTTCTGAGACCATCTTCCATTTACTGGGTGTCTATCTTGTGTGCACCGACTTATTTATATTTAGGCTCCTCCGTTAAAAAAGCTGAGCTCTTTGAGGGGAGGGACTGTTTTTACCTTTCTCTGTATCTTCAGTGCTTAGTAGTGTGCTGTCACTTAATAAATGCTTGTTGATT